GTCGCAGTGCGCTTCACTGGCCTTCCCAGTTCTGCTAGCCCCAGGGGTCAGCGGGAGGGCTGCCCCCTTAGGAACAGGCCTGCCACTTCCTTCTGGGTGACAGCCTTCATTTTGGCTTGGTCAAGGCAAAGCCCAAAGACTAACTTGTGGCTCCCCTTTGTACCAGCATGGTATATTTAAGGTTAGTCTGGGCTTGAGGCTTCTCCAGTATCTCAATTCCTCCTCATTTTCATTTTTATCGACTTATCTCACTGTTTAAAAGCTTGTTCTGAAGGCTAGGGAATGCCTGTGAAAACGGACAGGATAAAAACAATAAAACATTTTAAGTACAGACATAAGCAGCTTTGTGAGCCTCGAGCATCAACTGCGGTAGTACCATTTTGCAAAATGAAGGGAAACTTGGTCTTGGAAACAGTGAGGGGGATTTTGCCTCATGTTACAGGACAACTTTAAGGGTCTCATTTTCATTTCTGGTCACACTGTCACAGTGCCAGAGTGGAAGGCAAGAGAGCACACGATCACTCATGCAGACACTGAGTCATCTGGGTCTCTATAGGAACTTTGTACCTGTGTGTGTGCGGGTGTGTGTACAGTGTAGGCGTGCTTGTGCGCGTGTGATCAGGGATTGAACTCTGGGCCTTTCTACAGAGCTGCATTCTCAGCCTTTTGATTTACTCTTTAAATTTTAGCACAGGGTTTCACTATGTCTCTAAGTGGCGCAGGTTAGGTGCAAATTTGTAATCCTGCCCCAGGAGTGCGCCAGAGGCCTAGGGCTGCGGGTGCAAACCAACACATCCAGCTTCGTTATAGGGAGTCTAATCAGGCAGCCCCCTCGCAGGCTGTCCTGTCCAGGTGGCTAGGAGGAGTCTTTGAGCCCAAAATTGGTTTACACTATTGGTAAGGGGTAGGAGGACATTACGGCTTGGTTGACGTCTTCCCTTGTCTCATTCTCTGGGATAAATATCACCGGTGGGGCAATCACGGACACTGCTGGAGACCACACAGCGCAAGGATGTACACGCTGCAGAGCATCCTGACACTACCAAACCCACAGAAGCCAATCATTTCATAAAGCCCCAGTTTCACTGACTTAGAAAGAGAAAAAAGCAAGGAGCCTGGAGGCGCCTCCTGCAGCTCAACTGTGTTCTAGGAGCCAACAAGAGCTCCCCGGTTGCGGAGGCCGGGGCCCAGGACCAAATCCACTTAGATCTTGGACGATTATTTAGCCTTTCCACTCTTCAGTTTCACAATCTATAAAATGGGCTGGACATAACTACTCAGGATGGCTGCCAGAATTAAATGAAGTAAAATATATAAAATACTATTAGAAGAGGCAGGGGCACCACAAGCATATACATTAAGTGCTCCACATATAGCATGACTTTTTATTACTGGAAGCATTACAATCCCGATCTATAAAACAATGCTTACCAGTGGTAATGAAGTCCAAGTCAGTTAATGAACACAGATGCCAGGAAAGATGCACAGTGGAAGGCAGGAATGATTATGATTGTGAGGAGATAGAGCAGTTAATACAACCATAAATTCTGATCAGCTGTTTCAGACGGTAGGAGTCGAGTAATATGAAAAATGCTTTCCAAGAGTTACAAAACCTGCTGCGTCTTCATCCGATAACAACTACTGAATGAATATAAAACTTGACCGGAAGTGTGACGCTCTGGAACCAACAGCTGCCTTCCCATACATTCCAGGGGAGATAAGGTATCTACAGCTCTAAACCTCCAAGGTAACTAACATTTCCTGGTCCTATCCTTTGAAGGGGTGGTCACTAATTTGGAGATGTCCCTTACATGGAAAAGGCTGGCTCCATCTCTGCAGGGAACTGAGCCCCAGGCTGGCCAAGCACAAAACCCAACCGAGCTCCACCCCAGTCTCTTCCCAGCCCCCAGCACCACTAGGAATTTTTCTTCCCTGTGTCCATCTTCAACACTAAGCCAAGACAAACTATGCTCAGTGCTCCAGGACTCGCACGCCTGCACTGCTCCCTAGTTGGATGGACTGGTTTTCCCCATCCACAGCTAGCAGGAGCCTTCCGTGACCCTGCTTGCCTAGCTGCCCTGACAGTTCATGCAGTGATTACAGAGCTTGCAGCACAGGCGTGAGTGGCCCACTTAAAACATCAAGCAACTCAGGACAACACGTGGGCTCCACAGGTTCTTTCTTTTTCATGCAAACGTGCTGGAACCCTTTAAAATGAGAAGGCTAAGGCACACACTAACAACCAGTAATGACAATTGGTGAGTCCTCCACCATGTGGGGGTGGGGGTGCACACCTGTAATCCAGCACTCTGGAGGCTGAGGTAGGAGGTCAGGAGTTCAAAGACAGACTTGACTGCATAGCAAGATCCTGTCCAAGAAAACTATCATCCATAGCTTCTTATCAAGTCTGAAGGTTTCCTGGCCCCTTGGGAAGTTTTTCACCCTCAGTGGGGGAAGTGAGTGGTCTTGAGCCAGCCACACACATTGTAAGATGGTCCTCAGTTAATAAAGGGACTTCACATCTTCACATCATGTGGTCCACTCGACCACCAGGAAAGTTTCCTGGAAGCACATGCATCAGATGTACATATTATACATATGCTGTAGTAGATATATTTGAAAATAAGTGCAATTGAAGCACATGGATCTTTCCTGGGTTTGCACATCCTCAGCAGAGGAGGGAGGCTCCCCCTGCTCCTCCCTCCCCCCCCTACCCCTGCTTCCCTTTCCCCTCTGCTCCCCTCCCCTCCTTTTTCCCTTCACACACAACTGCCCCAGAAAACCCAAAGGGGCTTCCAAGGGCCAGAAGGCCACTCAGACCAACACTCCCTTTATGATCCGTGAGAAGCATGTGTCTCTGCAGGTTCTCTGGTCAGACTTAGATAAAGCTAGAGCTCAGGAGAAGGCCAGGCAGGAAATGGGTCTTGGGAGAACAAAGGTGTAGAACAGAAAGGCTGAGGGGCAGAAAGGTGGGGGAACGTGCATAGTGCGTGAGAGACTTCCAACCCAGGGGCCCAAGCTTGCACAGCAAGGAGCGCTTGTGCGGTGAGCGGAGAAGCTAACATTGAAAAGTCAGAAGCCAGTCCTGCAAAACTGCAAGGTTTCGTGTGAAAAAGCAAAGGATCACACAACTCTGGGCCCATGTCCCTCCCGGCAGTGGTAGGTGGACCCAGAGCCTGCTGCCCCGCAGTGCCCCCAGGTGGCGGCTGGTGAGTGGATCCCCTCAACGCCCCTGACCCCACCCAGGAAGGCAGCGCGTGCTTTTCTCTCTGGGCCACGACACGGGAATTTATGACAATTGAGTCCACTCAATTGTTCTGTAAAGGAGAAAAAAGCCAAGAGTGGGAGGTCCTTTGCCTAAGTTCTCACGGCATTTCCTTTGCCTTCAGTTTAGCCCTTCTGAACTTGCTTTTAGGATACAGTCTGAAGGGGGAAGTGGTCCTGGCCCAAACTTTTTCTCTTCCAGATAAATGCCTGTGACCATAGAGCTGGCTGATCTCTGACACCTTGGCCTTCACGGACGGTCACTCTCTTACCCTGCTCACACAGGTCGCCGGCATCTGCCCACCACCTCCACCACACCCTGTACTTCCGGGAAATTCTAGGGATGCGAATTACTAACGCCTTTGTGCAGACAGGGAACTAAGGCTGAGGGTCAGGGGATGCAGACCGGGTACACTGCACCTGATCACAGGCCTGTCCGGCGCCGAAGCCCACATGCCAAGGATGATCACAAAAAGGGTGAATGCTAAATGTGTAGAAGTAGATTCTAGTGAAAGACACACCACCATCAGTTCCCCTCAAAGCGTCCCCCTTGCTTTGTACCCTGTTGTTCTTGCCACCTTCTGAAGGAGTTCTGGAAGTCCTCTCCCATGAGAATCTTTAGGAGCCTGACTGAAAAATGCCATGGGTGCCATGGCCGAATACTACCGAGCAGCAAGGCAGGCTCTTGAAACATTAGGTGAATCTTCATCTGCCTTCCTTACTAGCTTATTGACCAGATTGGGCACCATGTAACTTCTGGCTCTTTCTCTAGGTCAAAATGACCAGGAAAGGAAAACGTTTTGGGATCAGGTCATCCAAACAGCCAGGACAGTACAACCAAAGAACACCGAAAGGACGTCAAGAGCTGCTTTGGAAAGTGCCAAAAATGAAAGGATCCATGCGTGAGGCTAGAGTAAAGACAATGAATCTTTTACTGTAAGAATATCTTTACTTAGACAGATAGTATTTTTCTATGGTACTTGTAGTGTGCAGTTTTGCCTCACAGATACCTACACTCTGTCCCAGATAAACAAAAATCCAGAACTCACTGGCCCGAACGTGAAGTGACAGGGCACCTTGGAAAGCAGGTAGGGCTCCCCATGTGCCTGGACTGACCCTGGGCTCTGCGCATGGCGGCTGCCCCGCTCACACTGGAAGCCCTTCTAGGCAGGTAGCCACCTCCTGTGCTTTCATCTCTCCAAAGTATCAAAGAGTGGTTGCTTGGAGTTTTATGTTTTGATCAAATTTTACTAATGTGGCCTCTTGGTAAGATGTATTTTATACCCGCATGTGGATTCTTAGAAAGGTCCTTTCGTTTTGCTCATCTTTTTTCCCTCTCCTAGCTTTATTTTCCTGAGGGGAAGCATCTATCAATGTACATGAATCACAGGTTGGACGGGTTTTTGTAGACCAAATGGGCCATGCTTATATATTTTTTTCCACAGTAAATTAGGAGACAACTGCACTGTATGTGATTCTGCTTGTTGGTTTGCTTTTTTGTTTTGTTTTTCTTTCTGACACTGGGTCTCACTATGTGACCCAGGCTGGCTTCAAACTTCAGTGACCCTCTTGCCTCCACCTCCCGAGTGCTGGGTTGCAGGTGTGTACCACCATGTCCTGCTTTGTACTCTTTGTGACTTTTGTAAAACAAACACAGACACAAACTTGCATACACCAAGAGCATTATGTGAAGTGCTTTGGTGTAGCAGTTGTCAGTAAATCTTAATCCTACTTACCACCCATATTAAGACCAGTCTTCTGGATAAATAAGGATCAATATTCCAGTGAGTGAAGGGAAGAAACGTGATGTAGAACACTTCTTGACCCAGAGCAGCTGAAAATCGGAACAGGTAATAGTAGAAGTAATTCTTCACGATGTACTTCTTCCCATAAGCCTAAAAGACAAAAGGTCGCTCTGTCAGTTCACCCAACACCTCCCTGGGTAGCAAGTCTGAACACTCCGTGCCTGAGACGCATGGGCCTTTACAGCTAAGGTACCGCCTTGTTTCTCCCCATCTAACTGTGGGGTTTTGACCATTAATCTACACTGAACATCTGTCAACCCCTCTCCCCCCTTGTCTACACTAGTGAGGTCTTTTTAGAGTTGAATAACATTAAGGAAAGAAGTACCAAGAAAAGGTACACAAAGCCAAGCCTTGTATACGCAGAAGGCTAGAAACTTGAGGGCAGCTGAGTATGTCAGGGCAGCTGTATGAATTCCTGAGTATGTTTGGCCCTAATCCTTAGACCCCATGAACATATCCCCTTACATGGAAAAAGGGGCTTTGAAAATATCATTACATTGATACAAATTTGAGATGGGGAGATGACTATGGATTAGCTGGGTGGACTCCACAGAACTGTAAGTATCTTTAATAGGAAGGAAGGAGAAGTCATAAAAATGTCAGAGTCAAAGACTGATTTGAGGACATTAACACTGCTGGCTTTGAAGGTAAAGGAAAGGGCCACAAGCCAAGGAATGTGAGTGGCCTCTAAAGGGTTAGCAAGTGGTGGTGGGGAGAACAAGGCGACAGATTCTCCCCTTGAGTGTCCAGGAGGAATACAGCTCTGATGACACCTTGCTCATAGCCAAGTGAGAACTGCTTTATACTTTTGACTTCCAGAGCTTTAACAGAATCATTGGTGTTGTTTTAAGCCACTGAATGGTAGACAATATTGCTACAGCAGCATAGAACTTGTCTCTGAACTTTATTCTCCACCTTGTGTTTTGCAGTACTGGACATCAAATCTAAAGCCTTGATCAAACCTAGGGCCTCATTCTACTGCTGAGCTATCCCTCCCCCCTCTATTCACTCCCCCCCCCACTCTATTCACTTTTTAGATGGGATGTATAGGTGGGTATGGTGATACATGCCTGTAATTCCAGCTACTACATGGGATGAGGAACGGAGGAGGATTGAGAATTTGAAGAAGGCCTGGGCAATTTAAAAAGAATCTAAATGGCACCAATCAAGTCAATTCTCACCATAGATACTGTGAGAACCCTAGAAAGTACAGGTGGGTTGTCATCATGCATGCCCATTCCCTCATTCTTATCCTGTGGACAAGGAGGGGGAGGGAATACTTGTAGGAATAAAAACAAGAGCAAGCAGCTGGTTTATACAAAGCCATGGTGAATACTTTTGTATTTATGGGATATTAGTAGTACATGAAAGCCAAAAACAGTCATCCCATTGAGTGAATCTAAAAAGTAGACTTTTAGTGCTGCTGTCAATGCTGGTCATAAGCTTTCTGAACACAAAACCAAAGTAAAATGCCAACATCAAAGGTGGGGAGGGAGGGGCAGCGTGAGTGCAGGAAGACTTTGTACAGGCTCTTGTAAGTCCATGTTTGCCTGGTTTAACACCTGGAGATTTCAGGGAGAGTTGCATGTGTTTATTCTACCAGTATTCATCCCATAGCTGTACACTCCAGCACCCAAGCTGGGCACTAAAAATATTCAGAAAAACCATGTGCCCCTCTTCAGCATAAAGGTTAAGAATTTTCACCCACCAGCTATGGGGGACATCTGGCAATCAGTCCTGCTTTGCAGATTTACAAAGAGAAATTTTGCCAAACTCTAACAAGGGGCAAATCTCTCCCTGGTGTCATTTATTATACCCAAGAGTTCTATGACATTACAAATTCTCAGTGACAATCATTTCCCTACTCTGGAGATTTACCTGAGCTCAAGTTCACCATCTTGATCCTGGTAAATCACTGAGAAAAGCACCAGGGATGACAGCAAACTGCTTTAGCATTATGTACTGCTAATCAGTATCTTTAGTGGTTTTTTTGTTTGTTTGTTTGTTTTGTCTGGTTTTTTTTTTAGCATCTCTCAGGATTTCTCTTCAGAAGGTTAAATATTCTTTGAGTCTTCTTAGGGACAGAAGAACCCAGCATGAAAATTAAAATATCAACCTGTACACAGTACCCTCAACAGACTTCCTGGGGGTTACCCATACCCAAGTAAGACTAGTAAGTACTTGTCTTTTTAAAGAAAGAACCTGAGTTTCCTTTGTAGGAATCTCAGTGTGTAGCGCTTCATTATAATTGGAAAATAAATAAGAATTTCCTTTCCAGATATGGACTGGTCTCACTTGGAACAAGTACAGAAAGAGATCTCAAGTTAGAGATGGAAATGGTGAGTACAGTGGAGTGGCAGAGAGAGAACTCATGTCCTAGAGATGTCTTTCCACATTCCTTGTGGGCCACATGGGGGTCCTGGCCAGGACCTTGGGCAGTGTTTCCATGGCACATGTGCGATGATTTAGCAACTAATGTTTAAAGTGAAAGAGCAAGAAAGGGCTGGGCATGTGGCTCAGGGGTCCAGTGCTTGACCAGTGCCCAAGGAGACTATGGGTTTGAGCCCCAGTTATGCAAAAAAAAAAAAAAAAAAAAAAAAAAAAAAAAAAAAAAAAAAAAAAAAGCAAAGAACCCTATAAACAACCATCACCTCCACAGAGCAAGAAAGCCTCGCACATTTAGGCTGTGGACAGCCACCCTTGGAACTAAAAACACT